CGGAAGAGTTTGTTTTTTAATTTGTTTGCTTGAACGCGCTAATCTCCGTAACTTCAAGTCCGATTTGAATAATTATTTTTCTGTTGGATAGCGCATTTATCGAGGAAGGCTTTACGCTATAAAACATCACGCTACGACCAATAGGAGCTGAGCAGAGCGTGTGAAACCGCGCGGAAGTAGCTAGTTAGAAAAATAAAGTTTTTGTAAAAGAAAATTGTGATTTTGTAAAATTCGTGATGTTTTAGGTAGGTACGTACATACATTCATATTGACATTTACAAATAGTGTTGTTTATTGTATGTAGCAACATTCATCGATAAATCACATTGTCATTGAGAGACTTTAAAATATGCAAAAAAAAATTTAAAATACCTACCAATGTATGTAAATAGTCTTTGTACTTATACCTGTAACTACTTCAGTGTATTATTTATCACTGACTATGTGATTACTAATTGTTTTTTTTTTTATCAAGAAATTGCAAGGGCAACAACTTAGTAGGTATGTTTGTGTTCCTCTCCCTAGGGATGTGCTGTCACCATGGAGGCTCCGGAGCAGGTCTCTTCAGAGGACCCGGTGTCCCTTACAGATGCTGAGGGTGGCCACCGGGTTGGTTTTAGTGAGCTACGAATCCCACACTCCCTAGTCTTTCTTCCCAAAAAGCTAGGCGTCTTTTGAAGGTTTCCCCCCGACATAAAAAAGGTATGTTTGTGTTACAATCTTCAACAGCCTGTAGTTCACTATCAGCCTTTGGACGCCCTCTATATAACAGAGACTTGCAACAATTTTAACGTTTGAATGAGGTTTGGAGACCGCATTTTAAAAGGTTTAAGGTTAATGGAACTGTCTGTAGCCGACCTCTCAAATGTATTAGCTTCCTTTTCCTTGTGCATACTGCTAAGGAGTGGTTTGCCAGTCTGTATTTCTTGAAGGGTATAACCTGTCTTCAAGGCCCGACTGAATAGGTTGCTTATGGGACGACGCGCTTAATCGTAGAACGCATCATCGCTAGGCGAGATAGTAGTCGCGGAGAACCTAACGGGTAACCGGGGCTCCGGCTCGACGTGCAGGAGAAGGAACGGGGTGGTTTTTAGTCAGTAAGAGTCTGATACTCCCTTCCGCCTCACCCAGGCGGGAGCAGTCATTCGATGACTTTCCCCCTTAAAAAAAGGCGAGATAGTAGTCAAACGTCGGCCCATCAAATATAAAAAAGTATATACATTTTATCACTTGCAGGAAGAGAAGGCGCGGGAGTAGGGGGGGGGGGGGAGAGCAAATAATTTATTTTGTTCTGTCTTCTCTACATAACCTATTTATATACAACAACTTATATTTGGTAGATAAGTACGCATTAAACACTCATACGCAAATTACGCTAATGTAAAAGGTACCATTTTATTGTTACGGACAAAGTCCACGATCAAAGAGTGGAAATGATAGATCATTGAGGATATAATTATTACTCAGCTTTAAATAGAATGTACTTTATTTTATGTCAGGTGTACCTATAGTCACACCCTGTCTGCCAAATCCCCAAGCGGTCACTGGTGCTCGCTCTCCACTTACTCCAATATAGACATTATTTCCGACATTTAGAGATTACTTTCGTATGAACAAAATGTTGAAGATTTTTCGTAATCGTGGATTTAGAAGTTAGGTTAGACAGAGATGTACAAATTACCTAATGTAACATTTAATTTTTATCACTTTTGTTGTGGGATAAGAACAATATATCGTAATGTATATAGACGGTCAAAGCACTATGCAATGCGCTACATAGTTAATTCAAAGACGAAAGACGTATCTATCTAATAATTAAAAACGTATACACGCCATATATATACTAGTGGCGGTACATACAATGTACAGTCATGATTAATTCCTCAGTACTTGTTGATTTATTTAATCTACCGTAATCGATCACAGCACTCGTAGCGGAAAAATAGTGAAGTTTTATCTCTTAATCTAGTGTTCTTTGTTTGAATAGTTTGAGTATATCATGATAGATGGCGTTGTTTTTAATTATCGTATTACGCCGTAATATATTCTCCATCTAATCTACTATTGAAGTTTTCATATCAGTTTAATATGCTTAAAATCTAGCAATGCCAGTTGTTAATTTTTATCTTAATAAACGACTAGACTGTCATAAGGACTGCTGTGCAATGTGTTGTAGATTGGATTACTGCTTTGGCCGAAGAAGTGGCAATGGCAACTTTTAAATTTAATTTATTTCATTATAGCATTTCAACATTAATTCATTATTTAAATTAGTAACCCATTAATAACCCAAAGTCAGGGTCTTTAAACCGCCAGTCCTGGAGATTCGAGAACATGTTAAACATGAACTCGTTATGTGTTCGTTAGATGAGAGAATAGAAGAAAGAGATAAAATTTAGCGATAGTTAGCCATTACAACATCGGCCGTCTTGACCGTCCTTAGTAAAATGGTACCAATTACCCTCAAGTCATCATTAGCGACATCTGCGCCAGACAGTTTTATGTTGACATAATTATCTACACAGATTTACCGGCTCGATCCAGAAAAAAGGTTCGCAAAGCAATAAAAAGTTGATTCACACAATTTATTTTAAATAACATTTCGTGATTTCCCGAGGACTCCCAAAGACGTAATGTGTGCAAATTGGCACGCCACCGAGCTATTTGTAATAACATTATCTAGATTTTTTTTATTTTCATTTTAGTTGCATTTATATTCTAAAAATATTTTGCGGCGTAACAGTCATTTTTTTAGAATCGTTTAAGTATGTGCGATATTGCTGTTGTAGGATGGCTAGTGAAGTGTGGGTGAGCCATTCTTTGGCACGAATGGACGGCTCCACCGGGGTGATACCACACCTCGCAGAAAATCGATGTGAAATAACGAACGCTTGCATTGTAGAGGTATTTCGTCGTGTGAGTTACAGGAGTTACAGGAAGCCCCATTGCCCTTACCCCAGTCTCACCAACCCCCAATTCCACAACAATCCTCAGATTCCTAATCCTCAAAAGTATGTTCGGGTGTCCATGCTTACCATCTGGTGATCCGTTTGCTCGGTTACTGGCTTATCATAAAAAATTACTGCGTTTTGGCAGGGATATTTTTTTAGATTCCACATGAAAATACGCGTTATACGTATTTTTGTATTAACAGGATATAGGATGACAGTATTTCGCCCGTATATTGATTGACATACGTAATGAGTTTGATGACAAAATTATCCATTTTAGGGAAGTAAATGTTAAAAAGTCCTTTATGTAGGGAACTTTTATTTTGTTTTACTATTTGTGTATCTAGAGAGATAACTAGACTCTTCTTACAGGACCTATTTAGGCTCTGTATCGTATTGAAGAAACTAAATACGGTATTGTTTTGAAACCAGAAATTCTTGTTATTTCAACACCTGAGATGTGCCATTCAGAGTGCGGTCTGTTGCTCATTGTTTTGTTCTATGAATGGCACCGACAATAGAGATACAGTTTCAACAATTGTTTCCTTAATTTCTTACAATTATTACGTCAGTTTACTCAAATTTGGAAGGCTAGAAGAGAATGACGGATTTTTGGTATAGGTACCGTAAATATTTCATCTTTTATTTTGTCAATTTTCAACCATTTTTGTGGAGTGTGTGGCATAGTTCAACAGTTAGTGCCACTGTATTGAGGCTTTGTAGCTGTTACGAGTTTATTAACCATCGGATGGCCATTTAGTGTTTTAAACATCTATAAATGAGACTCAATTTAAAAAAATGTGCTGTGTATTTTCAAAATACAGAGGTTAAATTAAATGTCTCCACAGAAAAATAATTTAAAAAATGTTTTTAGAATTATAACTTATACGAACCATTTCAATCACAATACATAATATTTTCAAACATAAAGTCATCATTTAAATGAAAAATTACATTTAAATAGTCTCCTGGAGTATAACAGTTTGTAGAAAAGTGTATAGAAGTGAAATTATTATGATTCCAAGGCGAGTGAGTACGGATGTGGCACCTGAGTTATGCGGACGGTCCGCTTATAGAGCTTCCACATCTTGCGGCGGCGCAACATTGTAGAGAGAAACAAGACCTTTATTTATTAGCTACCTGGTTTGTGAAAATATAGAACTGAGCTTTGACTTGCAACATTCAACATCTGCACTTGCTTTATTAAAATCTGCTACAAATTGCAGTAGTATTCTATTTTACATGAAGTGTAATTTTCAGGAAAGTGACATTGTTCTCAAGAAAGAGTACATGTCCCTGGTACCTACTTAAAGATACTTATCAACATTAATAGCTTTAGTGAAATGTAAACTAAAGTTTTTGCCATCAAAACTGTTATTATTTATAAATCATAATCACCCCAAAACTATTCTTTAACTGAAGCTGAAACATTTAATCTGTTTGGATTAAAAGATCAAAACATTGGCTTCGCATGCATAAATAAACACAGACGTGAAAACGCTAAAAGCCCTTCATTCAAACCAAAAACAGCATCGCAACCATTGTAAACAAAATAAGCGTCACCATAGCGCTAAAATAAACTGTGGAATGCCGGATATTGCAATCCCGGTCCGTCACGGGCTAAGGACCGCGTACAGGTGCCTTCGACGACTCAGTGCGCCTGAGCATTCACACAGCGCGCACGCACGCTAGCTCTTACGAAAATTCTTACATCGATATTAAATACGATATACAAGACGATTCAAAACCATCTCAAGATTAAGAAAATGAAATAAATATCTACGAAGGTTTTGAAGCTGGAAATTTTCAAAAGGACAATATTAAAACAGTGATTTCAGAACTATTCACAGTTGTGGAAACAGACATTGTGAATTTATTTAAATAGTGGACCACACAAAATAGTTCGCGGACAAGATAAAATAATTGTGAACATTTCTCAGTGATTTAGCGAAGATTGTGAATTTTATTCGCTAATAAATAGTGGTGGTGTGGACAGTGAAGTGAGAAAATTTGAAAGAAATAAAAGTTGCTGAAGTTTGGTGTAACATTATGAAAGTCCTGACCGTATCCGATAAGGTCGCGAGTGTAGGAGATGGAAACGAACCGACTGTGGTCGACACGCAGACCCTGACTAAGGAGGAACTGAACAAGTAATTATTATTATTTTCCAATTGGTTTATTTTTAAAAATATTATCTACATTTATTTAAATCATGCAATACTTAATTCAAAGACGAGAACAAATTTTTTGTTATTCAAGTTCAAAGAATCCCAAAACTGTAATTAATGTAATAATAATACAAATAAATAATCAAGTGACATGAAACATTTCTAAATGGAAGTACAAAAGCGAAAAAGCATTTGTAGATAGTCATACATAGAAACAATTCCAAATAGAAAAGTACTTGAGAGTTCACAGAAGTGTAACATAGCATTAGCAAGTTCGCTAGGTCAGATCGGTTGGCAGTTGTCCAGAATGACACAACTGCGCGGTATGCGGTGTTTACGTGCCTCAGTCGGCGTGTTGTCGTTATTCGGGTCAGGATTGCTGTAATCATGTTATGATCGTTTTTCACATCTATTTATCTGATATTGATGAAGATTTGATCTGTTTAGTCGATAATCATTAAACGCTAGTAGGGTTTGATGAATTATTATTAGAGGTTTATTTAGTTTTTGCTACAAACTTAAGGATTATTTCTTATAGGATTTTATATTTTTGCCTCTATGTAGTAGTCTAAACCATAATCTATAAATTGTTACAGAGGATGTCCTCTTGGTGTTTCTCGTGTCACTCCATTTCTGTACGTGTGTGGAGCCCACGCATTGCCGGGTGCAGTGAGAGTCCTGCACCCTGGTCTCATCGTTAGTGCAGCTCCTGAGCTGCCTCCTCCGCCTGAAGACTATGTTCCCAGAACGTTTGTGCCTCTTCTCGACACACCTAATTCCGATATGCACCCGTACATGGAGAGTGTAGCTGACCTGATTAATGAGGTGAGTTTTGATTGGAATTTTCTCATATATATATTTTTGTTCTAGGTTAGCATTCCTTGCAATTCGTGATTGCCCTAGATTATCTTTATCTTTGTTTATACTACAGATTCCAGGCCCAGTAATGTTTGATAGAGTAAATATTTTCTTTTTCGCTTAAATAACTTTACTAGATGATATGTAATGGTTTGGAATCTGGAACAGTTATTTAATGAACTTAATGTTCACCAGGTCATCTGCAATGGGGATGTGGTGCTGGTTCATTGCGTTGCTGGTATATCTAGATCAGTTACTCTCTGCTTGGCGTACCTCGTGAAATGGCAGAAGATGACCTTGAGGGACGCCTATTATCATATGAAGCAAAGACGGTGAGTAATGCCGATAACATTCTCAGATCGCAGACACTATACTACTATATCATTTTAAAGACGTAATTTTTCGGGCAATTGGAAACGTTTTATGATTTCCGTTCACCGTTTCCAGACATTTATTGATTTTTTTGATGTTATATTTCCTTCGGTTTCTTATGCTACTCGTTTTTGTTTTAGACCACAAATCCGACCCAACACGGGCTTCTTCAAGCAGCTCATCAAGTTCGAAGAGAGGCTTTTCGGAGAACCTTCGGTGAAGATGGTTTACTGCGAAGCTATTGATAAAGAGATACCTGATGTATACGAGGCTGATTATATCGGCATGACTTGGTTCAGGCAGAGATACGGACCCATCGAGAAGAGTTGAAGAGTGACTGAGGTGTCGTTTATAATAGAAAAGGATAGCTGTGATTACTTTGTGTGAAGATGTACGGAAGAGAAAGGTGAGAGAAGATGAATGACTATAAATATAAGACTGAGTGGATGAATGATTTGGGGAATGAATGAAAGAGAGTCGTCAGTTCTGAGATAATGATGGGTGTTAAATATACAGCTGATGTTGAAATTAATGTATGGTAAGGCGAACATTCTAGTGTGAAAGAAGTCCAGATAAATTAGAAATGTACTTGTATTGTTCATACCTTTGTATTCTATTGTAAATTATTATTGGCTGATAAAACGTAAGCATGCACTTTACGTATGTAATTTACTTTATGTATAAGCAATGTGATAATTAACTTATTGTTATAAATTAACCATAAGGTATTCGTTTACCATTAAATTGTATAAGATGGGACCAAAATAAATAAGTGGATAATTTTTATGTCGTGACTTTTTATTTTTAAAATGGACCCCTTTTTATTATCATTTGGGAATTTTCTAAGGATGAGAAGAATGAGATAATTTCTTTAGAATATATTGAACAAAATGACCTAATTGCGGTTGTAGAGTAATGAGTAATTCATTGAATGAATGTTGTTGGCCTCGTGGCATTGAGCGGGAGTACGGAAATATCCCAACGGCTGGCGAGTGCCGCCTCCAGAAATTAGCCGCAGAAGGTTAGCTTTGAACAATAATTCCTAACTGAGGACGAGTTAAAGATAGCTCAATTAGCAAAGAATTTGAATATGAAAAAATTGTATATTTGACTTAATCTAGTACACAACTCTAATGTTTTAGACTATATTATATACTACAAGTATTCGTTGAATTCATGTAACTTACGAACTGCTAAAGGCTTTTAGATAGATACAGGTGGATTGTGGTTATAGGGACTGGTGGATTATGGCCCGACTTTAGTCGTAAGTGCTAAACGATTTTCGATATAATAATATAATATAATAATATCGAAAATCGTTTGGAAGAGGTTGGAAATAAAGTAAGTTAACAGTATCATAGCTTCTTCAATAATTTTACTCTAATTTTTTGGTTCAGTATTACTATACATTTTATTCTTGTACCTTCTTCATTATACCTGTGCCATGAACAATGGTCTACCAGCTTCCGCATACTGATGTAATACTCTGTAACATTTATCTCCTCTATATTATGCGTCCCTGGTATGTGTGGCGAACATTTTGAAGTTTCTATTGCTAAATTATTGTAATATCTTGAGCACCAGCTATTTTTATGGAAGTAGACTCAAGATTTTGTGTAATATGATCAGTATCATGTTGAAGTATAGCGACAAAATACATACGTACTATCTAAAATATAAAATATCTAAAATATGTTTTGAAGTTTGTTTGACTGTGATAAAGGGATATATGCCTGCGATTAATGGACTTTCCCTAGCTATAGGAATTTATATCAATCTATAATATGTTACTCTACTGACAGACGACAGTCTACATGAATCTCTTGAAAAATGTCAGAGTCAGTTGGTTCTCCAGTTGACAACGGAACATTCTCAGACGATTATACAATAATGTCTGTGAAAATATTTCATAAAAATAATCAAATAACTTCATTTATTTTTCTCTAAAGAAATGTGAAATTTCAACATCTATAAAAATTTCCACGTTACATTCCATCGTGTCAGTTGCCTTTTCAAAATCTAAATCTCTTTTGGTGGTACTTGGGTTTGGGCGGGAGCCAGAATACATTACGCTGTCATGTTTTTGACGGATAGCTGGTTGGTCTCAATGATAATACTATTGTTCTAAATACTAGAGCACTAAGGTAGGTATTTGCGTAAACAGTTTTTTGGCAAGTGATGGTATCCATGACAAGGTGTAGGTTGTCCGTTTCCAAGTTCAATGTTAGTGGTAATTACCTCACGTGAATGTAATTAGAAATATTTTTTTTGGATCGGCTGCTGTTTTTACGCTCGGGGTTAATGAATAGTGTCGTGTAAAAATAAACTTCAAGCAGTTGTTACGAGACGATTACTGTGACTATATTTGGTGGTAATCAGTTCTGCGGTCAACAGTAGGTTATTGTTACTTGTCCTCTGATGTTCCATGTTGTAGGTACTGTGATGGTGTGTGATTAAAATATTTCGAAGAACACTTAATGCCACATTTCTAAATATTGAAGATTAAGAAAAGAAGACTTGAGTTGGCCGAGTGGTCGCAATTGCGACTGCTGGGCAAAGGGTCTCAGATTATTACTGAGTTTAAAAATAATAATAAATAGTACCACAGAGTCTGGAATTGTGCCTGGTGTATGATAATAGGCTCACCCCCTATAATATGTGATTTATAACATAAATAGTGAAAATTGGGTGTGCACCTCTGTCTACCTCTTCGGGGATAAAAGTCGTAATGTTATATGAAGTTGTTTAAAAAAAACAGTTACTTAATATATCTTGTCCATTATCTGATTTTGTCTGTCTGAAGTTTGAAGGTGTTACTTATTGTTCCCTGTAATTGATTCTTTTGACACATGGAAATGGAATTCGTACACTTCTATATTTAAATAAAGTAGTAGTAACAAAGTAGTAGTGCGACACTCGTCATGCACTGCTCATGAACATGAGCCTCTAGCATGGCTTGAAACTAGTCGAGTTCCTCGTCAAATAATTACGTGAGTAAGCCGAAAAACATAAGAATTAATTTATTATGTCCAACGAAATTTATAATACAAATATCCTTATGTTGCTACGCACGTATCTATTTATTCCAATTTATATAATTTGAGTTAAATAAATACAGTGTAGTATAATTATTGTCTACTCTGGCACTTTGCCTTTGATACACTCTGCCTTGACCGTTCTTTGGCTTCTCAGAATTGATACAAATATGTGAACTCCCAATGTCATACTTTTGTATTATAAAACACGTAGTTTATCCTCTTCTAGGAATCCCATTTTTGCAGTTTAATACTTTATCCTCTTCTAGGAATTCCAATTGTATTTATTTTTGCAGTTTAAATCAATTTTATTAGTTAGAAACTTATGTAAAGTTACTTGGAAGATTGGTAAAGGTTGGTATTTTAATGATTGATCAGATTGATCTAACAATATAGAGTTAGTTAATGTTATGCGTTTGGCAGCACAATAAAGTAAATGGTTTCGGTTTTTTGGGATTTGAACCGATATTTCAAACAATTCACATCACACATCTAGAGTCTATAGCCCAATGCTGAGCAAAGCCTCTTCTCACATGGCGAAGGTTTGAGCATTAATCACCCATAGCGTTGTAGTGGTTTCAAACTTATTATAAATTATAAATCCAGGTTTCCTCACGATGTTTACCTTCACCGTCTTCACTCGGAAAAAAATACATGTAGGTACTTCTGGATACTTCATGTCATAGTAAAAATGTAGTAAAACATGAATATTATAAGGAATAGAATGAACTAGCCACATTTATGAGGTCGTAGTAGTCAGATCGGGTAGGCAGAACATTCATAATATTGTGTTAGTTCTGTATGCTACAACTGAATGAGAACAAAATGAGACGCAGATTTTTTACGATTCCCTCTTTTATGTTTTGTTTTCTAGTACAATTGAGAGAAATATGACTGTTCCAATTATTTTCATTACAAATGTTGCTGCCTGTTATTATGCTAATGACAAGATGACCTAGTCTCAATTCTGGGCACTGAAATATTAATTTACATATTATATATTTGTTATGTTATGTAGGTCTATAGGTACCTACTCATTTTTTTTATTGGAGTGAGGAAAATCATCGTATGTCTTCTCCCGCCCGGGTGTTGCGAGAGGGAGTGTCAGACTCTTACTGACTAAAAACCACCCCTTTCCTACTCCTGCACTTCGAGCCGGAGCCCCGGTAACCTTTTACTATAGGCTATATATTGCATATATATTATTGCAATTGCAGTGTCTTTGTTTTGAAAACCACTTGGTTTTACACACTTGGCTTATATTTATATACCACTAGTGTCGTACATCTTCGATTCTTTGCAATTAAAAATAGGTATTTTTTAAGAAAACTAGTTTAACAATTATTTTTGTGGAAACAAAAAATTATCGAGATCCGTTCAGAAATTTTGGTGTAATTACCTAACAGACATTCAGAAAGATCATACCTATTCCTACTTCTGAACTTTCACATAAATGTTATTAGCACACATTGAATGTAGATTTTTCATATTTAATAGGATGGCGTTTGGCTACCATTTCGTATGGTGGCAATAAAATCTATATTTTGAGAATATTATACGGGCTGTCATCAGATTTACAGATATTGTCAAATATTTTATTGTTTGCAGTATTTTACGATATTGTAGGTATTCTAAAACAAAGGGTTTGTAGTGCACAAATATACATTGAAGTACTTACTGTCATGATGACTGTGTTCGTTAAAATGACATTTGGATTGTTCCCAAATTGTTATTTTGGCCTTACTGTGGGTGTACCCTATTTATGTTTTGGCCACATTCGCCAAAATATTATTTGCCATAAAATTACGTGTGACTTTGTGCAAGGTTACAGGTGATCCTAATTGAAATACCTCTCCGACTAGTATGATTTCATATTGTGAAAATCGTATTGAATGGAATTTTACATTGCGTAGAATGCGTTGTCTTCTTTTCCTGTGTCTTTATGTATGTATTTATATACCTATGTTTGTTTTTCCGTATGTTTTGAATGCTCTTTATTGAAGAAGTTTTCTATTTAAATGAAATATTTCCTTCGTATAGGTAAAAACGGCTATTTGAGATGTTACTTAAACCTAAAAACTCTTTTGATAAATAAAGTCGCCGTAAAAACACTAATTAGATACGGATAAGATCAATATGCTGAAAGGATTTCGATGATTATTCATCGGAATCCCATATTATTATTAATAGAAGTTTATATTATTAATTTTAAATAAGAGCTGTAGTCTCGTTTCCTATAAAAATGAAATATTGCTAAAAGTTCTAGGTCTATCCCCGACACATTTTTTGCTTGCG